GTTCCTTTTTCTTCTTCCTCTTCTTAAAGAATACCTTTCAGCATTTCATATAATGCTGGTTTGGTGGTGATGAACTCCTTTAGCTTTTTCTTATCCGTGAAGCTCTTTATCTGACCTTCTATTCTGAATGACAGCTTTGCTGGATAAAGTAATCTTGGTTGCAGGTTCTTGCTATTCATCACTTTGAATATTTCTTGCCACTCTCTTCTGGCCTGCATGGTTTCTGTTGAAAAATCAGCTGATAGTCGTATGGGTACTCCCTTGTAGGTAACTGACTGTCTTTCTCTTGCTGCTTTTAAGATTCTCTCTTTATCTTTTGCTCTTGGCATTTTAATTATGATGTGTCTTGGTGTGGTCCTCTTTGGATTCCTTTTGTTTGGGGTTCTCTGCGCTTCCTGGACTTGTAAGTCTATTTCTTTCACCAGGTAGGGGAAGTTTTCTGTCATTATTTCTTCAAAAAGGTTTTCAATATCTTGCCCTCTCTCTCCTTCTGGTACCCCTATAATTCTGATGTTGGTACGCTTGAAGTTGTCCCAGAGGTTCCTTACACTATCTTCATATTTTTGGAATCTCTTTTCTTTTTTCTTTTTCGGTTGGGTATTTTTTGTTTCTTTGTACTTCAAATCTTTGACTTGATTCTTGGGATCCTCTTGTCTGCTGTTGGATCTCTGTATATTATTCTTTATTTCAGTCAGTGTATGCTTAATTTCTAGTTGGTCCTTTTTCATGTCCTCCATGGTCTCACTATACTTATTGAGGGATTCATTAAATTTATCAGCGGTTTCCATAAAATTCTTGAAAAACCTTATAAACGTGGCCTTGAACTCTATATCCAGTCGTTTGCTTTCCTCCATTTCTGCCATTTGTGACCTGTTTCTTTGTCTCCGCATTTTGGCTGCTTCCCTGTGTTGATAGAGTGGCCCTGCGTGCCAGGTGTCCTGTAGGGCCCAGTGGCTCAGCCTCCCCAGTTACCTGAGGTGGACACTCTTGGTGCACTCTTGGTGCCTTGGTTGTTGTAGGATCACTGGGAGGAATTGACCTCCAGGCCAATTGGCTGTGAGAATCAGCTGTGTCTGAAGTGGGAGAACTTCTGTGCTGAAGACACCCTTCTGGGGCAAGACTTGCTTCAGTGGGGCTTTGGTGCTCACTGAGTCTGCTCCCTGAATGTGTCCCTTATGGATCTGAGGAGTTGCAATCTGGATGGTCCCCCTCTGACCACTGGGTACAGTGGCTCCTGGATCTAAGGAGGTGCTAATTCAGCCTCTGCCTGAGGCCACACAGCAGGAGCCACGAAGAGGCTCAGCTGTGAAGCAATGCAAGCCGCTGCGGGGCCTTGGGCCTTCTCTTGGAAGTTCCGGGTCTGCCTGGCTCGGCTGCAGTTAGGTACATTCACATGCAAAAGCCTCTGCCGCAGCCTGGGTGGGGCGGGGTCTCAGGGAGTCAAAGGGCGGAGAAAGCAGCTATGGCTGATTCTCCTAAGGAGTCACGCGTCTCAGTGACCCGATAGTTGCTGCAAGCACCTCTGAGGGAAAGCCGCACTCAAGTTCGCCCGCTGCCCGACAGTCCAGCTTCTCCCCGTATGAGTCCTGGGTCCCCAGAGACTTCCCGGAACCAGAGTTCAGAGCAGTCAGGAGCTTGTGATTCAAAAAAAACAGCCGTGTCCTCAGGTGCCACCCCCTTTCCGCAGGCGCGTGAGCCGCCGTACCTCTGCACTTGTACCTCTGCAGCTCCTCTGGCTCTCAGCGTGCTTTTCTTTCCTTCTAGTTGTAGAATTTACACTCAGCCAGGCTTCCTGTTGTTCTGGATGATGTCTGCTCTGTCCTTTGCGGTATTTTTCAATTGTTGTGGGAGGCGGCAATTTCCCGGTGTTTATCTATGCCGCCATCTTAGTTTCCTCGATCTTTATAGTTTTGCCCAGATGTTACATCAATGGAATTACCCTGTCTGTAATCTCTGAAACTTGCTTCTTTCCAGCATAATGCCTTTGCGATCTGTCCAACTGTTTGGGTGTAGCAATAGTTCCTTGCTTATATTGCTCAGTAGTGTCCATTTTAAGGTTATTTCTACAACCTGTCTATCAATTCACCTGTTGATGGACATTAGGGTTGTTTCCAGTTTGGGGCTTTTACAAATACACCTGCTATAAGCCCTCACAGAATTTTTGTGGGACCATAAGGTTTTGTTTCTCTGGGGGCAAATGCCCAAGAGTGTGCCTGCACCTGAAAAGCTAATGGATATTCTGTTAAGACCAACCCGAGACCTTTCTCAGACTCCAGGCAGCCAAAGGAAGAGAAAAAGCTACAAGACAGCCCTGGCCAGTGTTTCTCAGTGGTTAGAGCCTCAGCCCACACACCAAAGTATTCGATTCCCAATCAAGGGCACATACCTGGATTGCAAATTCGATCCCCAGTCCCAGTCAGGGTGAGTGTGGGAGGCAACCAATTTATGTGTCTTTCTCACGTCGATGTTTCTCCCTCTTTCTGTCTCTATCTGCCCCCCACCCCTCTCTAAAAATCAATCGAAAAAATATCTTCAGGTGAAGATTTAAATTTTTTAAAGCTTCAAGACAAAGGATCCAGGGCTCCCTCTCCCTCCTGGGAACACACCGGCACCTTTCCCTTCCTGGACTTCTCCCCCCAGAGGCACGCATCTTCTAAACCCCAAAGGACTCACGAGAAGTACAGCCAGGGGTGCGGTGGACAGAGGCAGCTCGACCTGGGCTAAGCCTCTGACCCTGTCTCCAAGGATCCCTTTTCTCTTCTCCTGCCTGTTGCTTCTTCTACCTTAAGCCCTCCCTTGGTTTCACTGTCCCCAGCTTTAATAAAGATACTCTCAAGAGCCACCAGAACTCATCTTGTGAAATCTTTCCTACAGGAAGTTAAGAATCCACACACTACCAGCATGGGCCCTAGGCAGACCCGCCCCAGGCCCAGACCCCGTCCCGTAACAAACTGACATCTTAACTATATTTATACAGCATCTTCCAAATCACAATGTAAACGTCTCCCCATTTATTTAGTTCATCTTTGATTTCTTTCATTCATTATTTATAGTTTCCTCATATACATGGTGTACTTGTTTCATTAGACTCATCCCTAAGTATTTCAATGGAGGGATAAATGGTACTGTTTTTTCATTTTCAATTTCCCATCGTTAATGTTAGTGTATAGAAACATTAGTCTTAGTGTGTTGACTTTGTATCCTGCAACCTTTCCAATTTCAATGATAACTTCCAGTTTTTCATGTTTCCGCATGGGACACATAAGCCAGGATTGGGTGTGGTTAACCTTAATCTTGGTGGGACACTATCCCTCCTGGGACAGGAGAGCCTGGGAGGCTTAGGAAGAGCTGCCATAACGCTGTTCTCACTGCTTCTCTATTCTTCAGGGAAGCTGTCCTAGGAGCCTTTCTCCTTGTCATCTCCCAGTGATGCCGGGTCTGAGGCTTCTACCTCGTGCCTGTGGGGTTGAGCTGCAGGCTCTAAAGCTGCTCAGACACAGGTGACATTCTCTCCTCACCAACAGGGTCCTGTCATCCTTGCTGCAGTCACCTGACGCCTTTGTTCGATTGTCATCCTGTGCAAGGGGCGGGGGCAGCTGGCACCTGGGGCCAGTCTTACTTTCGTTGTCTATGTAAGTATGAACCTGTCTGACTCTAAAAGGGCTTGATGGGCCTGGCCCGTGTAGCTCAGTTGCTTGAGCATCGTCCATGCACCAGGAGGTTGCTAGTACGATTCCTGGTCAGGACATCTACAGGGTTGCAGTCTCCATCCCCACTAGGGGCCTGTCAGTGGATGTAGCGCTCTCACATTGATGTTTCTCTCCCTCCCCTTTCCTCTTTCTATAAAAAAAAAATCAATAAACTATTCTTTAAAAAATAATCAAAAAAAAATTCTAAGGGCTCCTTGTCTTGTGACTGGCTGGCTGAATCTATCAGCTTTGCCTCTGGCTCTACAGTAGCTCCCGTGGGATTTCTATGTAGACAATTTGATTACACAGCCGTGAAGTCCTCTAGGAATAGCTTATGGTTTTGCTTCATAGTCAGTTGTGCTGTTTATCGAGGGCTTTCCATTTTAGTCAGGAATTCCTTGCCTGTAGGTTGAGAATTACGAATGAAACACGGAGCTCATTCATTTAGGAAACAGGAATGTAGTCCTTCCAAGTCTGTGTAAATGGGAGGCAAGTCTCTAAAGGTAGGAGCCCAGGTGCATGGGCAGGAGGGCACATTAAGGAAACCTGCCAACATATATACCAACCCACACAGACACATGCCAAATTAAGAGAGGAGGGCTAATACATGTAAATGCATGGACCTCTCATACTAAAGTACTGCACATACACTTAAGGGGAGGAAGTCCCTCCACTAACCATGAGCTTTACCAGGTCTGAAAGTCTCTGCCTCCTCTCTTTCACCTTCCCAACCTATTCGCTGTGACATGGCCGGGGGTCGGGGGGCAGCAGAGAACAGAGGGGCCATGGAATAACTCACTTATTATCTTGTGGCAACAACAGTGATGGTGACAATACAATAACAGTGAGAATCATGGATGGAGCCTTTCTTTGGACCAGACACTCTACAAGGTGCCCTTTCAGTCGGTTTTATGAATCCCAGAGGGTCTATCCTACATCTGTTCCTTTTTTATTCTCCCTACCAGGGTTTCTGCAGCCCCTGCTCTCCTTCTAAATCACACTGCAACTTCATAATTTCCCCTTAAAAACTCAGAAGAATTACAGACAGTGCGGGTCTGAATGTGGATTGGCTATGAGAAGTGTGGGAAACTAGGACGAGCCAGGATTTGGTGGGTGACGTGCCAATGAATCTTTGCTAACTTGGAAAAATTAGTAATATTTACCCTGAGGCTTTGAGATATCTGAGATGGAAATCAGTTGGAACTAGTTCAGGAATATTTTCTTAAAACATTGATGTGGTTGTTTTTTTCATGCAACTATAACGCTTCATAACCCTCCCTTTCTGGCAGCCCTGCCCTTCTTTGTAATGTGAGGTGTGTAATGTGTGTTTGTATATAAGTCACAGTCTACGGTCCCACAACCAGTCCTCCTGCTGCTCTGCCATCAACTACTCTGGAGGGTCATCAAGAACCATGGTGCCCAGAATCTTTGGTAAGAGGGCACCAGCCCCAAGTCTAGCGTATGTGTTATCACACCCATACTGTACCTCTGAACCTCACACTTAATTCTCTCTCCTACTCTATTATTGGCTTCCCACCCCCTAAACCCGCCCCCTGTAACATGTCTGACTGCATTACAATCTCTCCCCCAACCTGCAAATTTCAGAATCTTAGCTCTTCCTAGAGCCCTCCCTGCCACCCAGAGTCTGTCTCAAAATCCACTGTGAGCTGTTAGCAATGAAAGAAGCTCATTGGCATCTCTTGGGCCCCATGACAGCGACCAGGCTACTCTCCAGCATTATTCTCATTCCCCTTCTGCTTCTCAGCTGCCGTCTTCATTTTTGAACTCCTGTTCTCAGACTCGGAAGGACTCACAGGTGAGAAAGGTGGAGGTAGGAGGTGGCACTTTAAGTGGGAGGAGGCTTCCAAGGTCTAAGACCCATCCTGGAGCCCCTTCTGCTCTGGCTTGTTCAGATACTGGGCTGTGGATGTGCCATCCAGCACCCAAGTGTGGGGACGAGATCTACAACCCCTTGGAGCAGTGCTGTGATGAGGGCACCGTCCTGTCCTTGAACCACACCCGCCTCTGTGGTCCCAACTGCACCTTCTGGCCCTGCTTCCAGCACTGCTGCCTTGAGTCCTGGGGCTCTCAGAATCGGGCCACTGTCAGGTTTAAGGTCCCAGGCACAAAGTCCAACTGCATTGCCGCCCCCCTCAGCAGGATCTGTGGCCAGGTAAGAGTCCAGTTCTGGCTGTGGGCAGGGCAGGGGTGGCATTTGTTGCATCAGTCTCTGCTGAGCTTCCCATCACCCATGTCTCTCTCTGGTTCTCTCACCTCTCTATCTCTCTAAAGGAATACTTGCCTAGCAAGCCCTCTACCAGAACTGAATTTATCTGGACCATCCTGAGGAGCATAGACACAGGACACTCAAGACTGTAATATTTGCGGGTCAGCAGTCCTATGATAAACTATAAGGTCTTTAATCCTGGCCTGATAGCTCAGCTGGTTAGAGCATCGTCCTGATACACCAAGGTTGTGGGTTCAATCTCCAGTCAGGAGACATGCCAGAAACAATGTATAAATAACTGGAATCCTATATAATAAAAAGGTAATATGCAAATTGACCCTAATGGTAGAACCAGGAAAGACCCATCACTATGATCCGCACTGACCACCAGGGGGCAGACACTCAACACAGGAACTGCCCCCTGGTGGTCAGTGCGCTCCCACAGGGGGAGCTCCACTCAGCCACAAGCTGGCCTGAAGGCTATGAGCACAGTGGCAGTGGCAGGAGCCTCACCCACCTCCTCAGCTGCACTAAGGATGTCTGACTGGTGGTTTAGGTCTGCTCCCTGGAGCAGGCCTAAGCCATCAGTCAGACATCCCCCAAGGGCTCCCAGGCTGCCAGAGGGATGTCTGACTGCCAGCTTAGGCCCAATCCCTCAGGAAGCAGACCTAAACTAGGAGGTGTATATTCCCCAAGGGGTCCCAGACTGCGAGAGGGTGCAGGCCAGGTTGAGGGGCCCATCCCCCTGAGTGCACGAATTTTTGTGTATCAGGCCTCTAGTATATAAATAAACTGGAACAACAAAGTGGTGTTTCTCTCTCTCCATCATCGTTCCTCTCTATCTCAAACCAATAAATAAAATTTTAAAAAAGGTTAAATACTTCATTGTATTTAACAGTGCTAGATAAATAGTGGTATACAGGCAGTCCTCAGGTTATGTCGAACTCAATGTACATCGTTTCATGGTTATGTCGCCATCTCTCATTTATTTATAAAAAAAAAATTCCATCATTTTGACATATGTACATATGTGCTTTATGTTTTTTATTATTTACTGTATTTACCACAAGTAAAGGTCAGGAATTGTTATCTTTCTTTTAAAATTTTTTTACGGTTTCACTTCACTACTGCTGTGTATGTGCTCCATGTGAGTGACATAGGTGCTTATGTAAGTGGGTTCCAACTTACGGGGAAAATCACGTTATGTCGCACCATAGGAACAGATCTCCAATGTAACCCAAGGACCTACTATACTTTTTAGTTGATTTAAACAGTCCTGCCTTAACTAGAGCAAGTGGTAGTAGATTTAATTATATTTCTTTCTTTCTCTAGACTCCAAACAATTTTTGTACATATGTATGTATCCCAGTCTTTTTATTAAATGTATTGGGGTTACAAAATTAAACATGATGTTACTTATATGTGGAATCTAATGAATAAAATAAACTAACAAACAAAACAAACAGACTCATAGATACAGAGAACAGACTGACAACTCTTAGTGGGAGGGTGCTGGGGATCTAGATAAAAAGGTGAAGGGATAAAGTAAAAAACAGCTCATAGACAGATAACAGTATGGTGATTACCAGAAAGATATAGGGGTGGGGTGGGAGGTAGAAGAGGGTAAATGGAGGATAAATGCTAATGGAAGGAGATTTGACTTTGGGTGATGAATACACAATACAATATACAGATAATGTATTATAGAATTGTACACCTGAAACTGATATAATTTTAGTAGAGGCCTGGTACATGAAATTCGTGCGGGGGGGGGGGGGTCCCCTCAGCCCAGCCTGCACCCTCTCCAATCTTGGACCCCTCAGGGGATGTCCAATTGCCAGTTTAGGCCCAATCCTAGGAATAGGACCTAAACCTGCAATCAGACATACCTCTCACAATCTGGGACTGCTGGCTCCTAACTGCTCATCTGCCTGCCTGCCTGTCTGATTGCCCCTAACTGCCACCCCTGCCGGCTGGGTCACCCCCAACTGTACCCCTCTGCCAGCCTGGTCATCCCTAACTACCCCCCTCGCTGGCCTGGTCGCCCCTTACTGCCCCCCTGCCAGCCTGGTCGTCCCCAACTGCTCCACCGGCTGGCCTGGTTGCCCCCAACTGCCCCTCCATTGGTCTGGTCACCCCTTACTGCCGCCTCTGCTGGCCTGGTTGCCCCTCAGAGCCCTCCCCCCCCCCCAGCCTGGTCTCCCCACGCAGCCTGCTGTGCGATCGTTACTGTTACTGTGATGGCATCCCAGACAATTTGCATATACCACTATTATTAGTATAGGTTAACCAAGATCAACCAATAAAGTCAATAAAAAAAAATAATTAATTAATTAATTAAAAAGTCTTGGCTACTAAGTGTATGAAGTACTTTTTTTGTTTTTTTAAATATGTTTTATTGATTTTCCACAGAGAGGAAGGGAGAGGGATAGAGAGCTAGAAACATCAATGAGAGAGAAGCATCCATCAGCTGCCTCCTGCATGCCCCCCACTGGGGATGTGCCCACAACCAAGGTACATGCCCTTGACCGGAATCGAACCTGGGACCCTTGAGTCTGCAGGCCGACGCTCTATCCACTGAGCCAAACCGGTTCTGGCATGAAGTACTTTTTTCCCCACAAGAAGTTATGTTATTTGTTTGTTTTTATTATTGACATTATTACAGAGTCCCCCCAATTCTCCCCTTTACCCTCCACCCAACCCCAGGCCCCAGACCTTCACCACATTATTGTCTGTGTCCATGAGCTATGCATATATGCATATATGTTCTTTGGTTAATATCTTCCAGTCCCTCAGCCTGCCTCCCCTCTGTAGAATACTCTAACCAACTGAGCTATCCAACCAAGGCTTAGCATCATCCTTTAGACCTGTGATCCATTTCAAGTTAACTTTTGGCATGGCATGAGGCTTAAAAGTTGAGGTTTAATTTTATCTTAATGGATATGGCAATTCCTCCAGCATCATTTGTTGAAAAGATTATCTTGCCCTCGCCGGTTTGGCTCAGTGGATAAAGCATTGGCTTGTGGACTGATGGGCCCCGAGTTCAATTCCAGTCAGGGACACATGCCCAGGTTGCAGGCTCGATCCCCAGTGGGGGCAATGTGGGGGGCAACCGATCAATGATTCTCTCTCAACGTTGAGGTTTCTATCTCTATCTCCTCCCTTCTTCTCTGAAATCAATAAAAATATATTTTTTTAAAAAAGAAAAGATTATCTTTTCTCCATCAAACAACCTTGACAACTTTGACAAAATCAATTGACCATAACTTAGAAAACGAAAGATGAGAAAATCTATTTCATTTACTGTGTTGTTCTTTCTTCCTTTTTGATGTTTTAAGATTTCTTTTATCATTTCCTTTCTGTTTCAATACTTCCTTTTAGCCATCTTTTTAGGGTAGATCTGTGGGAGACAAATTTTCTTAGGTTTCCTTCATCTAGAAATGTCTTTATTTCCCCCTTTATTTCTGAGGGATATTTTTTATGGATATAAGATTCTGATTGACAGTTTTTTACTTTCAGTAATTGAAAAATACTAAGCCCACTTCTTCTGACCTCCATGGTTTCTGATGAGAAATCTGCTGTCATTTGAATTGTTTTTCCCTTACAAGTAAGGTGTTTCTTCTCTCCCTTGCTGCGATCAAGACATTTTCTTTCATCTTTAGTTGTCAGAACTTTGAGTATGATGTATCTTGAGTGAATTCTTTTGGGTTTATTTGTGTGGATTCCATATACCTTCTTGAATGCCTAGGTTTATGTTTTGCCAAATTGGAAATTTTTTCATCCATTATTTATTTGAATAATTTTTCAGTTCTACTCTCCTTCTCTCCTTCTGGGATATATAAGTTAGATCTTTTGTTTTAGTCCCACAGTTTTTAGGGTTTTATTCTCTTTTATTTTTCTCTCTTTTTCTCAGATTGGGTAATTTCTATTTTTCTTTCTCTCATGATTGTTTCCTCTGTCGTATCCATCCTGCTGTTGAGTCCACCATTATTTTTCTTTTAGTCATTGTATTTTTGAGTTCTAAAAAGTTCAATTTGGTTCATCTTTGTATCTTTTATTTCCTTGCTAAGGTTATCTATTTTTTCATTTGTTTCAGGCATTTCATAATTGCTTGTTGAAGCATTTTTATTGATTTTTAGGGAGAGAGAAAAACACCAATTAGCTGTCCCACATGCTCCTCTCTGGGGATTGAGTGTGCAACTCAGGCATGTGCCCTGACCTGGAATCGAAACAGCAACCTGTTGTGCTTGGAAAACAGCCACTCAACTGAGTCTCACCAGCCAGGGCTGTTGATGCATCTGTATATATAAAAGCCTAAGAGACTGAATGACCAAACTACTGGTTGACCAGTCACTATGACACACACTGACCACCAGGGGGCAGACGCTCAATGCAGGAGCTTCCCCCTGGGGGTCAGTGTGCCCCCACAGTGGGAATGTCGTTCAGCTGACCAGGATGAGTGGGGCCAGGATGAGCAGGAGTAGCTCCTCCCCGGATCCCCACAGGCCACACTGAGGGACCCCATCAGTGCACGAATCTGTGCACCAGGCCTCTAGTTTTTAATAAGATGGCTGCTTGACAATCCTAATCTGATAACTGTACAGATGTCAGATGTCAGAAAATTCTGACATCTGTGCCATGTTGGTGATTGTCTTTTCCCATTCAAGCTGTGACTTTTCCAGCTTCTTAATATGATGAGTGATTGCTGATTTGTCCAGGATATTTTCTTCTGCCTTATAGGGCTCATCTGACACCATGCCACCTGCTTATTCTTTGGGTTCTGAGTCTCCCAGCCAGTTTGCCTCTTACCTTGATTTTTCAGGCTTCTTTTATATTTGCTTATATGTAATTTCCAGGTACTTATGTGCCTGGAAGAAATATGTGTGTACTTAATGGGAAAAATAGAAATAAGTTTGTCCATTCTCTCTTGTCTCAGAACAGGAAGGCCTGTGCACACTTTCATTTTGTAACAATTATTAGTGCAGAATACGGCCTGGGTACTAGCAGTTCCTGTCCTGCCCCTCAGGACAAAGCATTACTATTGGTGTGGACGCCACAAGGATGTGCTCCAGGGATGGGTGGACAAGCTGGCCTCCAACCACAGGTCCCAGTGCTGCTCTATGATGGGCCCTCTTCTCTCCCTTGACTGTAATACTGTGACCACCACTGTTGCCAAAATTGCTGCTTCTGTTGCTGCTATCACCATCACCACCCAGCCCAGGCTACCCCCTCTGGGCCCCTGCAGTGCCCAGACTGCCATAGGCATGAATATGGGTGCTGGGAAGCCAGGCCAACAGCTCAGTGTTCACACTGCCCACTATCTGCCATGCCCATGCAGGTGAGCATGTCTGTCCACCATGTCTCCTCTACTTATGCTCACAACCCATTGTCTCATTTTCCTTTTGCCTAAAATGCCCCAGACTCAGCGCTGAAGAAGCCACAACTGGGAAACACCAACAGATGCAGATTTT